AAAATAAAAAAGGCATTTAAGGCAGCTCTGTGACCTGAGTTAATTAAAACATTCACTCCACCATCCAATTGTACCATGCATGGTCCCTGGTTAGAATGCCCGGACAGTCTTGTGACGGAAAGGAGAGAAATTAATTGCTATTGAGGTTCTACTTTGTGCCAAGTCTGAGCTATGTGATTTTCCAAACATTTTATCATTAACCTTACCAACGATCTTGTCTCCTAATTCTATAGATGAGGATTAAGATTTAAAGAAATGAAATAATTTGTCCAAAGCCTCACAGATTCCAAGTGCCATGGTGGGGTTTTAAGCTTGAATGTGTCTGACTTTAGAGCCCAGAAATCACAGAACCGAGTGTGATTTTTTGAAGACCTGATATATCTCAAAAAGCCTCCCTTAGTTTTCATATCTTTCTTTTTTCTTTTCTGGTGGGTAATATGGTAAGCATTATGTTTTAAACCTACAAAACTAGGTGGACTATATTAAAAAGACTTTAAATCTAGAAATTACACCTTTTGTAAACATATAAATCATATCTATATTCAGAATACTTTATAAAGGTTATTACTCTTCTTTAAATTACGTTGCACTAATGAGGCTGCTTAGGGAAAATGAACATATTCTTGTTTGAAATGAATTTTTTATATGCTGTCGTTGATTAAGAATCTAACAAACTGAACCCTAGTCTTTGCTTTATTCTTAACTTTCTCTGTTATCTTGAATCTGTCATTTCCCCATCTTTACAAAGGGATTAATTACATATCTTGTTGACCTTAAAAGCATTTTTTGAGGAATTGAAATAATCAAAATGAAAATGACCCGATAAAACTATAGAGCCCCACACTAGTATGTATTATTTATAAATGATAAATTGTCCTAGTGGGATTTTGTGCATTACTCATTCATCAACTATTTATTGAATGTTATTCTGTTTTTAGGTACTGTGTTAGGCACATGCAGTTACAATTATTTTTCATATAACCTAGTATTTCCTTAATTGGCTTTAAACTACACTCACAGGGGACTTGCAAGTATTTTTCATTTTTATCTTCCTTACACAGTCATGAAAATATGTAGTTTTTTAAAAATGTATCCCTGGATACTTGAATATTGTTTTTGTTTATCTCATGCAGGGAGGTCACAAGATGAACTCCTCAATGTATGTTGCAAGAGTTTTGCTGTCCCAATGTTCCAGCTCATAAATTTTCTTTCACAAATATACATGAAACGTAAATAGGTTTTTGTTCTTTCGGCTCTTTCTGAAGAGAGGTGCTCTGTGGGGATCTTTGGCATCAGTGAGGAGAAAGTTATTCGCATATGAACTTAGAACTAAGGAACTCTCCAGAGGAAACCTCAGCTGTCAAAAAGGTCCTTATAACCTTGGCCTGTGCATCAAGTGGTTAGGAAGATGGCTTTGGGGTTAAGTCTGGGTCCTAAGCCCTGTTGTGTCCCTTTCAGCTGGGTGTGAGCTTCGGCAACATACCTAACCTCACTGAACCTCCATTTCCTTATCTGTCTAGAGGGAAGGATGAAAGGCTGTATCTTGTAGTTGCCCATACAGGCCAGAGGTCTGGGCTCGGCATACGGGAAGCACTCTGAGTGATAATGCCAAGGTTACTCTGACCAAGGGGCACATCCCTTGCACTCTATCCCTCGTCCAGTCCTAGATGGAAACCCATGTGGTCCTAGTCTATTGTTCCTAGTGGGCACTGATTAGATTTCCCTCAGGGAGAAGACTTGGATTGCCACAGCTGTCTTTCTTAACATAACATGAATCATCTCTACAAAAGGGATGAGGGAATTCTAAATACACTCATCTTAATAGAATCTTCAAAGACAGAACATGTTTACAGTGGAATTATAGTTCTTCCATAAAGTGATTCCCAGTTTGACATGAGCACGCAAATGGCCTTTCATTTCTCTCCGTTCCTTTTTCTCCCCCAAAGTAGATCATCGTCTGCCCTCTCATTATGTTGTCAGGTAACATGCGAGTGCTTTGTCTTCATGAGGTGAGGGCCGTTCCCTGTATAGAGAAATTGAGATAATTGCCCATAACCCCAAGTTGTGGGGGCTTAGTGTCATATTGAGAACTAGGAGTCTGGTCGGGACTTGGTGACAGATGATAAGTAGGAAGGTAATGTAAATGTGGGGGAAACTGGGGAAAAAGTTCTAAGCTTCCTATACAGTTACTTCCAAGGTAAAATAGAAATTAACTGTCCCATTTTCATACTATAAATATTACCCTTGTCTTTTGTTAGCATGGATCAAATGTTATCAATTTTCAATAAATGAGCATGATATTATATGATGATATTGAAGCTATTATATGATATTGATATTCCATTCACAACTGATGGGCTTAAAAGGGTTTATGTTTGGGGAAATTGGTAGTATAACAAATGTTTGACTACCAAACATGATAGTGACAATGAAATCTATTTTTTGAAGGTGTACTTATTACCAAAGGAAGTATAATTCATATATAATCATGCTTTCTCTGTACTCTACATTAAAATGTACATAGATAGGAGTTTGTGTGTGTGTCAAATAAATTTGGGCTATGGTACACTTGAAAAACATGCTGTGAATCTCTAATTATGTTAAAAAATTATTTTCTTAGCGCAGCATTATACTCATTATATACTCTACACATTTAGTTTTTGAATAGATTCCTGGCATGATAATTACATAATCATTCAGTACAGTAGAAGCATCATTATGGTCAAATACTAATTAGCTATTAAAATGAAACAAAACAGAACCTAGTTCACAGCTTATTATAAAAAGTGATTTAGTATTGTACGAAACCAAATGTATGGTCAAAATTATTATTTGCTTTACATGTGAGTCATTTCTTTTTTCCTATGGGAAGGAATCAGTGTTACGGATGCTTGCTACCTAATTTATTGCTAGGGCACGTGTTGCATTTTATTATCAGAATCTTTATGACCAGTCCTGTGTAGCGGAACTTCCAAAGCACTTGCCAATGGGGATTCTAGGCTCAGCACCAGGGTGTGCCTCCAGGCTTCTGCAGAATTTGGAGACTGGCCAAAGTCTTCAGACCATGTCTCACACACTAGCTCTACACCTCTGTGAACATGGGGTTCAGTAGTAAATCACTCATTTGTAGGATGCTGATTTGAACATCTTTGGTGCTGAGGATGAGTGACCCTCAGCTGGTTTTCTTCCCCAGTGCACCTTAGGTGTATAGTGCAGTCCTATTTGTAACCGTGAATCCTGGTGGTTGTGATTTTCCAGTGTATTTGTGATGGGAGAACAGCCAGGTGAAATGTAAGCTGTGGTAGAGGGCAGTGGGAGGGTTTAAGTAGGTTGATAGAGCCCTTAGGTAAGCCTGTTAAGCATACCTTCTCAAGGGGACATTACTCTCACTCTCCTTGAGAATTGCTTCTGTGGATAAAACGAGATTTTACCTAGTATTAGAATGGTCTTTGTAAATACATTTTGACTGCGTGGCTTAAGCAGCTCTTCTCTCATATACATAAGGAATCTCAATTATTTCAGAGTATTATTTCAACCATAAGTGCTTCTCCTGATAAACGGTTTATAAGCCAAACGTTTTATAGATTTTATGCTCCTTTCCCTTTGTTAACCTCTGTGCCTTCTTATTGTCCTTCACTTTAGTTTTGGCCACTGTAGATATTAATTTTATTTCTTAATGAACAATTGTTTAATGCAGTTGAAATATACAGGACCTGTATATAGAATAAAAAAGCATTGCTAGGCTTTCTGATGCACTAAATAAATGTGCTATCGTACTACCCAGTTCTGTGTTCTTGCAATTAAAAAATTATATAGGAAACCAAAATATTTCAGATCATGAAAATATTCCCTAATGAATCAGTGAGTTATATTATTGGTCAGATATCTTCTTGAAATATCCTTTGATAAATTGAAGATAATATGATGCAAATTGATTATTCAGTAAAATCACAAACCTTGCAAAGGCTGCAGATTTCATGAAGTCTGTGACATGGCCTAGAACATTTCTACTCACAGGCAAAGCCATGAAACAATGAGGATCTGGCAAAGTTATGCTACTGAGAAAACCAAGGATGTTAGATTCTTCAACTGAGAATTATTTGAATGTCTAAGAATTGAGAGAGGACTTTAGGAAAAATGATGAAGTGTTTGACTTCTTTTTGTTTGTTTTTTTGCAAACATAGTTATGTTTAAAACCATCCTGTAAAAATTAAATGTCACATGAAGGATGTCATAATGTGCTAGTATAAAATATTGTTGGAAAAATTCTGCCCCAAACCCCAGTTCATTAATTTTTTGTTCATTCTAAGAATTACACATAGTTGCAAATATTGCCTAAACTTATTTTATTACTTTTTCTTTTCCTTTTGCTAGCTAAGTCTCAAATGAAATATTTTTTCACTACTATTTATTGTAACATTTTATACCCTATTTTAAGTGGGTTCACTTCAAGTGATCTTTTTTCAGAACCAACTAATTCTTGGATGTTAATGGCCCCATGTATATAAAATATATATGTGAATTATGTGCTTCTACATGTTTAACCATATTTTTTTGCTGGTCTGAAATAAATATCAGCATTTTAATTGAAATTAATTATGGCTAAATTGCAAACATATAATTTATGTATTTTCTTATTCAGCGAGATTAAGCAGGGATCAAGGTATTACTTGTATAAAGCTGATTCTTTTAACAGATCAATAAAACCAATATGTATATAGGTCATTTTCTGGGACATGGAAATAACATCATTATAATTCTATTAATGTCTTCCATTTGTATAACATTTTATTCTTAGAAAGTGAATCATGATTTCACTACACTCTGTTTTGTGCACTATTTGTGGTGATGAAATTACCTGTTTTCCAAGTTTTACCAGAATGTTCTTTGTAATTATTTTCCACATGTTGACTCTATGACTATGAGCTAAGATCTTACAAATAGCATTAAAGAACTGGAAGTATTTTGAGTCCCCAATAGTGAAGCATCTGTTTTTGCAGGTATATTGTGGTCTACAATCCTTTAGAACAAGAACGAAACTCGGTGGTCTCAGTCTGTGTGAGTTCCCCCACAGCACAAGTGTCCTCAGCTTCAGGAAAGCCTGTGGAAATTCAAATGAGTGCAGTTTGGGATACAGCAAATACTATTTCACAGACAGCCTATGAGGTATGTTTTTGCCATAGAACTTAAAGAATTTAAATATAACTAGTGTATAATTTATATATGTATGTCTGGTCTCTGGAGCTGTCAAGTTGCTGTATGTGAAACGGTTAAAGGTGTAAGTACCAGAGGGTTTAACTGGCCAGTTAAGTGACACTAAAGGAAAATAGATCCTGTGTTTCCCAAAATATCATATCTTTATTAGTGTGTATATTGTATGATATTATGAGTACGTGTTATTAGTATGCACATTGTATATCTTTGTAAGTATGTATATTGTAACTTTTCCTTGAAGTAATAAAGTAATCATTACTCATAAAATTTTGAATTGTTTTGTCTAACTCAATTTAATGATAATTATGCATATTGTAATTGAGATAAATAATTGATCTAAATAACTTTGGATACTTTTAACTTTTTTTTGCAAAGGCGAGACATAATATATCATGAAGACCTTCTAAAATAAGTAAGATGCTTCTTCTCCCAGATATAATTATGGAAAATCTGGGCTCAAATAATAGAGATTTAGGGGGAAAAGTTCTTAAAATAAGCAATATTAAACTGAATCCTGACATCATTAGAAAGGTTGAATGAACTTTTAGAGTCTAGAGTGCAATTTTTAACTATACTTTTGAAGACACAGCCATAAACTAGGAACTCCTTTAAAAGAGATTTACTTCCGCTTGTTAAAAGCCATTGCTGGCTGCCCTAATAAATTCATAATCCTTTAGGTAGAAATGAAAAGTGTAATGCAAATTTTGTTCGCATTTTACAGGAAACACTATATAGAAAATGGAACAGTGTCTCCTGGAAGGCAGGGAGGGGCCTTGTCTTATAATGCGTACATCTTCTATGCCTTGTTCAGTGTCTGATAGACCCCAAGCATTCAATGGCTGGTGTTGACTGAACTACTGTGCTTAATATTTATATTATTACATTAACCATCTTTATATTTAATGTACTCCAATACAGTATTTTAAAAAGATTCCTAATACTTAGGGAAAATGGTCAATCACAGTAAGCCCTTACCTTCTCTGAACATCCGTTAAGAGCACTGTAGGACAATTGAGGATGACCACATATTTTCATTTATTGGATGCGAACTTTAATGCCTTCGATAGTCCTACCAACTTGAAGTTATTAGGTTCCCAGAATAAACTGAGATGTTGATATTCTACCTGTGAGTTATCAAAACATATTTATAGAAGAGTATTGTATTCTCTTTCTAAATAGTATGGTAGTTTGTTGTTTTCACTAGAAGTTTAAATGGCTTTTCTTTCAGTAGATTACATTTTCCTTTAATAAATTCCCCCCTCTATCTTTTAAAGATCACTTTTCTAGCACAGATGCCACCATTGGGACTGAAAGTGTATATGATTTCGGAATCAACAACTTCAAATCCACATTTAGCTGAATATGTCCTGTATAATGGTAACATAGAAGATAAAGGAATTTTCAACATGAAGAATATAAAAAGCTCTGAAGAAGATATAACTCTAGAGAACTCCTTTATTAAGCTTCGGTTTGGTCCATCTGGGCTTATGGAGGTATGTTCTGAACAGTTCTGAAATTCATGAAAGGCTTATCATTTGATTATAATGGGTGCACATTACTTATGCTAGGGGAAAAGTCCATGCATATACTTTGGGAGAAAGGGTACTGAGCAGTATGAACCACCATGACCACTTCCTCCGCACAAGTGTGGGCTGTGTGGTGGGTGCTGCTTTGTGGATGTTAGTTACTGGTCCACAGATAACTGTAGAAGCTCTGACTTTAGAAATGTTTATGGAAACTTCAAAAACAATTTTTTGACAGATTAAAATTTTATGCCTACTGAATCTACTAATAAAAGATTTGAGTGTGTACTTGGTATATCACTTCAAATTTAATTTTTGTAATTCACTTTTATTGTACTTTACAAAACATTGGTTCATGCATATCGGAAATAAAAACATAAGCCTGCTTCTTCACTACAGAAAGTTTGAGAAGCACTGGTCTAGATCTCTTAACGTGTATATATCTCTTTCTTCCTTGATGAAGTGTGTTCTGACTTTCTGTTTCTACTGTGAAGGCTTTAAGTTCTAAGGTTAAGTATAAAAGTTTGGGTGTTCATCCAAGAATTGTGAATATTAGACTATTACCACTTTTCAATCTATTCTGAGGTATTTTTTTTTAAATCGACATGTACATAGAACCAGATGCAGCATTGTTAATATCTTAATAGTGAGTTGCCTTTAAAATTTTTGTGTTTAGGAAATAATAAATAAAGAAGATGGTAAACATCATGAAGTAAAAGTACAGTTTTCCTGGTATGGGACCACAAGTAAAAAGGACAAAAGTGGTGCCTACCTCTTCTTACCCGATGGAGAGGCCAAGGTGAGTCGATGAGCTGAGTTATTGTAGAAAAATAGATTGCCCACTGGGCCATTTTTTTACTTCTGGACTTTTTTTCTGTACTTGACTGAAAAGGTAGTATATGCAAATTGTGGCACATTGTGAAAATGCAAAAAAACAGTAAAATGTACAAAGTATTTCATAAGCCTGTGAAATCCACTGCTACCGTTTTGATGTATTATTGTCTTTTATTTTATACATATCTCTTCTTCTCCAAATTTCAAGTTTTGTCTTACTGCATTACATACTTTTCATTGTGACAATGCTCACAATTGGATGATAAATTCTTCACAAACAATTAATGTACACTATTGTGTGTAAAATCTTTCAGCTATAAGATGAATAAGGTCTGAGGGTCTAATGTATAACACGGTGATTATAGTTTATAGCTACATTGTATATATTGTATAATTGAAATTTGCTAGGAGGGTAGAACTTAAATGTTCTCACCAAAAAAAAAAAAAAGTGTGTCTCTGTATATGTTAAAAAAAAAAAGAATTTCCTTTTGTTGCATATGTACATTTTCTGCCAATGCTTTACTACAGTAACATGATAAATTTTCTTTATAGCATTTTTTTAATGCAATGCTGATTTCCTGAGAGTAACTTTCTATAAGAGTCTTTTTGTGTCAGTGGGTGAGGCCTTTTGAGGGTTTCGATATGTACTTCTTACCTTCACACTAGAAGGCTGCATCTTCATTCCAACAAGTGTTTTTTGAGAGTAGCTCTCTGATATACCATTCCAAGTACTGAGAATTAGCCCTATTAAAAGCTTTACTTGTAATAATAGGTGGAAAACATGTTACTGTTAACATTTTTGTGATTACTACTGAGCTTAAACTTTTATACATTTATCTTTCATATTTCTTTTGTGAGTTTTTATTTATGTTCTTTGATCATTTTTCTATTGGTATGTCTTATAGATCTATAAGTATTCTTTATATATGGTAAAATTAATCGATATTCCTATATATTGCAAAATTTTCTCACTCTGTGATTTAATTTGTTAATTTTTTATCTTATTTTTCTGTCACAGTGGTTTTTAATTTTTGTACAATCAATTCTGTATTTTTTTTTCTTTAAATTTCCTTCCTTTGCTTTTTATACTTACTTGTACAAGCTTAATCCACTTCAAGATAAGTTAAATATTCTCCGTATTTTGCTGCCTGGGGACCTGTCTCCTGTAAATGTTACTTTTGTTCTACAATTTAGAAAAACCTGCTAACCAAAATCAAATAAACATTTCAAGGGATTGTGTAGGCCACACTAAAGGTTTTTTGTTGTTGTTTGTTTCGGTCTTTTTAAATCAGTGAGGAATTAAAGGCAAGCCACAGCTCATACTAGGCATTCCAGAATGGGCAGTGGCTCCTAAGTATAAGCTGTTATCAGTGTTTTCTCACTTAACAGCTTTTCTTATTAGACAGACATTTTGTTTTGAGTAACTATTCTTACACTAAAAAAAAAAAAGTAGCTGTGCTATGGATTATGCACGGATAATAGTAACTAATTATGTAAAGTTATCTTTAAATAGTTCTAATATTAGATAGAAGGACAAAGAGAATTAGCATATGTTTACAAAGAGAAAATTAAAGAACATCAGGGAAAGACACAGCTGGGTGAATCAGAAAAAGGCAGGAGCCCAGAAATCACCATCCCAGGTTTCATTCCCCTCCATTACTTTCTAGCTTTGTGGTAAGTAGCTACAAGAACTTTGTAAACTATAAAGCATTATATTAATTCCAGGGTATTTTTCTCTAGCCAAAGAGGTAAATTTGGAAGAAAATTACATAGTTCTGAAAAATCTTATGCTACATAACTAGTTCACATTGCAAGCCTAGCTTTTTATGCTAGTGTTGAACTTGGCAAGGTGTGTAATACTTAAGAAAATATAACTCTTCATAAATGCTTTAAATGTGCTCCTGTGTCACATGTTACATGTTTTAGTCCCATATTTTTTTGGATCTAGATTCTAAATAATGAAAACTAAACCAGTGGCTGCCATCGTATTTTTTTTCACGTTGGTGAATTTGCTTTATATTCAGCTAGTTCTTTCAAGTTGAAGGGCAGTATATTTATAGAGTAGTAAACCTAACTGTGTTTAAACTATATTTGTGAATTCTGCGTCCTGTTTGTTGAGATGACTCCCTGTGGTCATCCTTGCCACCTGCCCTGACCCTGAACATTAGGGGGCCGTGGATATAATAAATGTTTGCCTGGGAAAATGTCACCACTATATAAAGATTGCTCTTTCTAATAAATACCATATGGACAATATAGAAGAATTTTAATTAGAAATTTTTATAGCTGGGAGGAGTATTTGTAGATCTAGGCCCATCAAGTTGCATACATTTTTATTTTCTATTTTCAACAATTTTTGTATAATGAAAAACCTTATGTTCAATGTTTATAGCTAGTGTATATTCTGAAACTTTGTAAGGTTTGGTTTTTACTTGAAATTACAAATATCAGGTGATCTCTATTTGCCATTTTGGAAACTAATAAACATTTCTTGGAAAAGTTAAAAGCCAAAATATTTTTTCTTAAAAATGTCATTTCCTCCTCAGCCCTATGTTTACACAACACTGCCCCTTGTCAGAGTGCAACGTGGAAAGTTTTATTCAGATGTGACTTGCTATTTTGACCATGTTACCCAGAGAGCCCGACTGTACAACATACACGGTAAGAAAACAGAGACACAGTTGTGAAACGTGTACACTAGTGATTGAATTCTTACTTTTCTTGTGCTGTTTTTTAATAAATCAGCAATTGATTTTTGGAGATGATATAATCTGTCTAAACTTGACATGCTACTTATTATGTAATTTAAAATATTCTATTTACCCTTTGATAATCAAAAATGGTAAAATATTTAACTTTCCTTACATATACGTTTCCTTTGTTTTCTATATATCTTCTCTTTCCTGTGGCAATATTTGTCTTAGTCATGAGCTCATTAACTGGAATTTTTATTTCTAAGATCTAAAAACAATGTCATTTTTATTTTATAGAATGGAAATTATGTCAAATACAGCTTTCATTTAGTGGGAGTCATACAAGCGCATGTGCACATGGGCCTGCCTTAAATATGGAATGTATTGCAATAGCATGTATCACTGGAATTTAACTTTAAAAGAATGTTCTAGAGAAGTTCTGTTTGTTTACAGTGCTTTAGCTGTTAGGGAATTGTTTACTGCTTTTAGGACTGTGTGAAGCAGCATCTTATTAATTAAGTGATAGGAAATAGCCTTTGATCCCTTCAGGAACTTCACCATGGGTATTAGCACTGGGCCTTACATAGGGTCTGGGTAGAGCTGTGGGTCTCAGACACTGTGAGAATTGTCCAGTTATGTTGGCTGGTTTTGAATTCAGTGTTTTGAGAATGGAGTACTTTTCCAACCACAAATTGAATCCTACTCACCAGGCATTTACCAGGTTCCCAGGTATCAACTCGCTTAGAAAAGGACTTTGGGAAAATGCCACTTTAAATTTTTCTTTGCTGTTAGCTAAGCTGAAAAAAATTAGAAAAAGGGAAAATATTTTCCCCTGAGTCTGCATACAAGTAGACAATAAAGCATTATACAAAATAATGGGCCAGCCGAGTGGCTCAGTTGGTTAAGAGCTTGCTCAAGAGTGCGAGCTTTGAGCAGCAGCGGTTTGAGTCCTGGCCCGAGCTGAGCAGCCGCTGAGCTGCCAACAGGTGGCAGGATGGCTCAGCTAAAAAAACAAAACAAACAAAATAATGATAAAATGTATGGGCAGGCACTGTTTACTTTTTAGGTGTTATGAAGAATCAAAGGGTACTATGTTCATGGAATTTTTTAGCTGAAGTTCAGTTTTCTAATTTCAGTGTCTAAATTTAATTTTGCTTTTATTTAACTTTTTTGAACTACAAGTTTCATTAATGTTTGCCTTTTGTTAGCATTTCATATATGGACAAACTTTCTCATGTGACTTTTTAGGTAATGTGATACGTTTTCAGAATAACTCATGATTCATAGGTTAAATAAAAAACTAAAAGGTTTTCTCTTCTGGAAGATGGGAAAAAGTATACTAGACACTAATTTTGTGTTCTAAACGTGACTTCCATAGTTATCTGCAGTCACTTTGCTACCTACAAGAAAATCTAGAGTTCTGAAATAATCTTTTATTGATTTTCCCCAAACCTCTTGTAAGTCAGAAACAATATTTTTGACCATTCGTCCCTTTGTACTCTTGTGTAAGCCATTGTTCAACATCTTTGAGAGTTCTAAAATTATATTTTCAGCTGTGGCCCAAAATTTCACTTTATGGGTAGAAAATAGAGTTATCATACAGGAGATTCACTTATCTACTTTTAAATTTGCTTAAACCTGTTTTTTTTGTTTGTTTGTTTTTAAATGGATAAGTTCTTCCTTGAGTACAGCACAGCACACACTTTGTCACAGACTTGTGTCATTAAGTTAGGTTTACCGTTGTTTTTCATCAGTTATATTTAGGGATAGGCTGTATCTCAGAGTAAATGCCGAAGCAACACGTTAGAAAATTCCACCTTCTCAAGTATATTTGCTTAACTGCTTTTACTTTTCTTTGTCTCTGTCACTGTCACTGCAGCTTCTTAGTTTTTTGGGTTGTCCAAGATATGTAGATCTCGTATCAAAGGATGGTTTCTGTACATTAGAGGGCCCCTTTCTGCTACTGTGGCTGTAAGTTTAGCTTGCCATCATACCCCAGTGTTCAAATTGGAAATTAATAGGCTCTAACTTGCCTGTTTACTTATTCCAGCAAACACTCACTGCTTAGAATTAAATACTTGTTTTGTCTCTTCCCGTCCCTCTCTTTGGAAATGCCCATCAGCTGACTACTATGCCTCTTGCGGGAGGAGGGACCACTGAGATTTAACTGACTACTGGCCCTCCACCGTGCAGTGCTGGCTCTCTCATTAGTCAGTTAAGAAACAGAGGAGGTTCTGAACAGGGCACTTAGAGTATTAGCATAACAAAAAAAGTAATAAATAAATGCGTAGACTCAGGTTGCCTTTGGATGTGTCTGTGGGTGGAATAAACTTGAGCTGATGCATTTTTGTCCTGATTTTTTTTTTTTTTTTTTTGTGGCTTGAAAGTAGAAAGCTTCAGAAGTTTGTAGGAAATGACAGATAAGTAATTTAGGTATAATGTGAAGTTAACTTAGAGTGCTCCTCCCGATGAATTTTACTGTACTTGCCTGGGTTGAACCTGAAACCAGCATATAGAACTATCTGAAGTGATATATCCATCTTTTTTTCCTCTCTCAAGCCCCAAAGCATTATTATTATTTTTTTTCCAACCTGAAAGTAGTTGATGGGAGATGAATGGATATACCAGATCACTGGAAAGGCTTTCTTCCAAACCACATACCCTTCCAAATTTGTATTTGAGCCCATCTCAACAAATTTTTTCCTCCCGGAAAAAATAATACCAATTGTGGAGATGGAGCTTTGCCTCCATAGCCTTCGTGACCCACTTGGATTTGTCCTTTTCTTTCATACATCATTGCATGAGGGCTCAGGTTGTCCGGATCCTGGCTCACTGGGGTTTTATTTAAATAGCTAATCAAGACCTGTGACAAAAATGAGAAGGCTGAGTGTCTGTCTGACTCTCTAGGCATCCAAAGCCACCTTAAAGGGGTTTGGTTATGCTGTACCAAAGCATCTGCACTGAGAAGTACTTGAAAGCCTTCCGTGTTTTCATCTTTGTCCGAATGTAAACCAGACATCCGGGTGATTGATCAAAATGCATAAACAGAATGCAGCTTTTCATCTTAGGTGCAGAGAAAACTTCAGCTAACTTCCATGCTTTTGTAGGTAGTTTTTGGTTTAATAGTTCTTAACATAAACAAAAATACCTATTCTCGAATTTAACTTATTAAACTAGTTCTGGATATATGCTAATATTCCCCCCTTTCAACTGACCAGATGCATTTATTTGGATGATGATTAATGAGTAGAGCCCGTTTGTTGTTAGTACGAAATTTATGATTCTGAAAGAAATGGAGGTTGGAGAAGAGAGACTATTAATATTTTGTGATTACATACTGTAATTGTATTAATTTACTAAACCAGTTAATTATATAAAAGATTTTATAATCTCTCAGCAACAAGAGTAAAGAAACAGAAAATGATTTAATATTACCTGTATGGATTGTCTGTCTTTTTTTAGTGTCTTTATTAAGCCTTTCAATTTAGTTTACTTGAAACATTTTTTTAAAAAACTAAAGTATTATAAACCTGACAAAATATCCTTAAATCTCTTTTTTAGTTACTATTTTTTGGCTCTTTTCTCCCCAAAGTAACTTTTGCCCAAATTAAGCCTGAGGAAGAAGCAAAATCAAACGATACTTTCCAGATATATAAACTGTATGAGACTCAGTTTCTTTAACTATAGAAAGACTAGGTGGTCAGTTAAGTATAGGCACCAATGAGTCATCATTGATTTTGAAAAAAACTGAATTGGGACACCTGGGCTCAACCTAACTGCTGCTTTTGTTTTGGGTTTGGTATTTAACTTTAGTTTCTCTATTTGCTAGTTTCTCTATTTGCGTTCTCTCTAGATGATGAAAATAGTGAGCGGTGCAGTTTAAAGCCTCTCTTAACATCATTTGAGCTCTTAAAAAGCACTGTATTTTTCTTTTCATTATCGTTCAGACATTGCATTCAAAAGATTTCTAGAAATATTAAATTAGAGGAAATCTTATGCTCACTAGCTTTAAAAACTCCAAAAGATCAGAGCAATATCTTAGATTTCTAATGAAACATAATAGTTTGCCTTATATTAGGTTGAATAAGAAATCCATTTCATGGTGACTATGTTTAATGAATGCCCTTAGGGAAGTATTTTATGATTTCTAGAAGATTAGTTTGTAGACAACATTTTTCTGGGGGAAAAGGTGGGAGAGGTGAGGATTAATTTTTCATGTAGTGTAATCACCTTTCATTACGTTGAAGTTTTAAATATTACCAAGTAGCCTACTTAGTTTTTGTCATTAGTCTTGGATTGGAAGCTAGACTATGAGACAAGCAGAAGCCCCTGTGTCCCCTTGTGTTCCATTTGATACTGTACCATCACAAAAAGTACACACCTTGCAGTGACAAAGTGATCAGTAAGTGACATTTCCTAGCTGTGGTTTCATTTATCTTCAGAGCTGTAATTATTAGATTTTGGTGCCCTAGTTTTCTGACATCAACAGCCACTTTGAAGAATTAGGTTGCTATGGGTTACCAATGTGTCATGTACATTTTCACCGGCTCAAGGTTCAGGTTCCAGATCTGTTATATACCTTCAAGGTTTATCCCCCCTCCACCCCCACCCCCACCCCACCAGGACTGTGTTCTCATAGGCACATGTTTGTGAGCAAATGAGTGAGTGTCTGTGTGTAAACCATGTTTCAACCCTTAGGAGAAATATCTTAAATGCAATACTTTTGCCTGTTTTCGACCAACATATTACTCGAGTGCTCGCTGTATGTAATGGATCTTGCTGGAAGAAAGCAAGTAGCCTGGAGGTAAAATGTAATGAACTGCCATCAAAAAGTATGGAAGAAAAGAATTTCCTTTGGCTGAAATGACTTATAATTTCTTTGCATGGGCATATTTAGCAATCAAAGAGAGGTTGCTTAGTTTTTTTCTGTCTTGAATATATAGCCTAAGTGGATTCATAATATGACCC